GTTGTACTATTGTTTGAATATTATATCTATCTAGGTATATAATACCTGTGTTGGTCTTTGTTGGAGTATGGTATAATTATTTGGGAACCAAGCACACACGATGGTATAGTTGTTATTTTGTCAACCTGAAAGATTTCAGCGTACATTTTTTAAATTTGCCGTTTCCGCATTAGACGTTAGGTGAGCCTCTCGTGAGTATGAATCACTGTTGAAACATCGTAGCTCAAGTTAATTTCAAAGTTCCTACTTTTTTTCCAGATACTCCTTCCCTTTCCACATTCCTTTTAGCCGCTGTAATTATATATCGAACAGCCCTATTATCCCTATTAGCCGTATGATGAAACTGGCAAATGAGGACCTAAAATTCCTTAGTACTTAGTGTAATTATTGTATATTCATTCTTAAATGTTTGTAACTTTTTTGTTAATTATTATTTAGCATAAAAAATTTCAATTGGGCTCGTTCCGTATTTAATATACATAAATAATAAGTATTGACGTATTGTTTGACATAAACGATAAACCATTAGAAAGTCATTCTTGTAGTGAGGTTGGTAATGACGTTCAATGTTATGGATATTAAAAGGATATTTTTGAAAAATACAACTTAAAAAACGCATTGGAATTTCAGTAATACTTTTCACTTTTTTTTCCATGTACTTTTGACGAATTAATTTTGAACAATTTTCTATAGTACTTATCAGAAAAAACCAATTTAATTTATCTTATAATGTATTTAATGTATCTATAAAAACCAAATTTAAAATTATAAAATAATAAACCGACCTACAACCTAACAATTCCAGAGTACAGCGATGTTGGTAGTTTATATACTGACTCCATCAGACAATTATATTAATAGGCAAAATGATTTTCCATACATATACACGTTTAAAAGATGCACATAGTATAACATATGGACAATTTATTTGAGTTCTTTCGTATAATAACAAAGAAAACGTATTAGCTGCTTGTAACTGAGTAAGTACATAATATATGTTATAGTTTTAAAACATTTTAAAAGAGTTAAATATTCGGAACAAAGGTATTAACTATTAACGATACACTTGAACTTTTATGATGTTTTTTCTATTGCGGTTCCTTGTAATTTCATTTACAAAAATATTGATAAATAACACTAACATAGTAACATTATGTTTATTATACGTAAAGTGATTACCGGGTATTTATCATAATATTATTATACACGATGGCACGTAGGTAAAATGAACATTTTTTGATAACTTTGTCGATAATAGCTCAATCACACTATTGGTTATAAAGTAATAAATTCCTAAAATAAATCATATTCCATCTCAATAGTAAATTTATTTTTTGAACAACGGGCAAACCACTTTGGGTAAAACTAATTTTTAACCAATCTTAGACGCTAACTTTTAGTTGTAAATTTTTAAACCTAAAATTAAATTCTTGTTAACAACTCAAACGCAACAAAATTGAGTAGGTATGTACCTAACTGTTAGTTATAATACAAAGGTAACAATAACTGCTTTGTATACATATTAACAACAGTTCAGCGTTTTCTTAGAAAGGCAAAATAATGTTATCATTTAATAGGGTAAAATAAAATTTTCTCTGAAGTGTATATTTTAGCAGTATGAATAGAGTAAGGGTATCTAAAATTATTCTACTATGGATCAAAAAATAACGACGACAGATAATTGGATTTGTTATCATTTTAGTTAATGTTTTTTTTCCTACTTTTTTGCTAGTCCTTATAATAAAACTCGCTTTACAGTTTATACCTTGTAATTTATATACAGGAGTTCTCCATTGATTAAAACATCTATAGTGGAAAAACAATTTAAACGCCTTTAACTAGATAATTAACTAAACTAAAAATATTTCAACTCATTTGAGCTCAAAAACGTTCCGAAAAAGTTTTCATAAAACATTATAATAAGTACCATATAAAATCGATAGCTTTCTTGTTCTTCATAGTACCTATAATAAGCTAACGTAACCTATTGTAAAGCAAATTTTCAGTTGATGAAAAATGTACAATATAATAATTATTATTGTACAGTAAAAAATTAAAACAGTATGCAATAATTGTTAATAGTACCTAGGTAAAGTAATAAAGTATTATTTTAATCTAGAGTAGTGGAAAAAATTGGGTAATTATATTTAGTGCCCAATCTAACTGATGGTCTAAGTTAAGCTAATATCTATAAACTATACACAATGCCATGAGTTGGTTTTGGCAAATGTTTATAAAATACTAAACGATAACAAAGTGGTGTTCAAAAAATGTATATTCGATATTATATTGATCATAATACATAACGGAATAATATGTGCGATATGAAACAATAATGTGAGCAATATTTAAATTGGTATGTTTCAAATATTCTGTTTGTTGTATGGATTAACAAGTTCTAGAATCAATACGTTACACAAACACACACATATATTATAAAATACACCGAAGTTTGCAAGTGACTGCATTATTCAAAATAAATAATGACGTATCGTTATTGAACTCACGTATTAAATAATAATTAAATTACCTAACATAAAATAATTAAGTACTAAAATTGTTTTATTGTATAATATTATAATTAATGCACATATACATAAATCCAGGTAATTTTGGATGATTGTAGAAATTATTACTCGACAGCTGATATTTCTGTACCATAGAAAAACTGTCGACAAAATAATAAGACTGAGAAAATAGTAGATGCATCCTTGATTAATTACTCATTCGATAGCTATACATCAACGTAGACAGGCTGGGCAAACGAATAACTAATTAGGGTGCACGCGAATCACATCGTCATTCAATAGTATTTCCAATATTAGTTATAGTTTCAATGGTTTGAAATTTATTAAAACCAACTTTCAAATTCAAGAAACAACATATAAGGATAACCTCATGCAGAATAGTGCCACACATTGTCTTAATTTTGAATGCCGTGATAAGTCATCGAATTCAAATGCAGCTCGGCTGGCTATAGTGATTATAAGACACATTTAAAGTTATTTATAAAAGTAATTTATGATGAACGGTATTGAATATTCGTATAGGAATAATTGATAAGTAACTTTTTAAACAAGATATTTAAAAAAAATGACGATAAATTAAACTTTAAATTCCGTGAACAATATTGAAAAGTAATTTTCGTATTTTTTTTCTCCTTAATTTTCCTCGGTCACAAGAGTTTTCAAACAGTCCACACTAGGACCTGTGCAGAACATACATTTATTGGCCATCTAACTTCAGTGAATAATCCAAAAACGAATTATTTATATTATTATAATCAATAATATATACATATATATAAATATATTTTTTTGTATTGATTTTTAATTATGAGTATTACAATATACAAGATTATACAAGTTACTATATACTGCAAAGGTCAATATCAAACATAACTAAAATGTCTTTTTTAGAGTACAGTGTACAGAGTACACAAAACAAAGTTTAAAAGTGTTTAACTAGTCAAAACTTGGACTATGAAGCATAGAACTAAAAATTGGAAACACGGATTATAGTTGTTATGATCAGTAGAGTTTTAATTTGTACATGGACTATAAGTGAAATAATTTTGTTTAGTTAACATTTTTAGGGAATTATTAAATTATAAAATATTCTTAAAAAATATCTGGTGGAATTTCAAATATTTAATATTATGGTATACTATACTGCAACGAATTAACCAAAATCGATTTCATTAATAAAGGTTATGTCTTAAATATCCATTTCAGAATATGCACATTTTAGAGGTATCCACTTTTCTTTAAAACAAACTAAACAAAAATTACAAATAATTTTAGTAAAGAAAAAAATATTATCATAAAACCAATATACTAGCTTTACTCAGAACTTAAAATTCAACTACTTCGTTTGACATACTATGTAAAAAACTCAAAACACTAGTGATTTACATTTGTGAGTATTTATTACTCTAATTAGGTAACTATCACAATGAAGATAATTTCTGTGACCCCAACAGGTACCTACCAAAATGGTAAAGTTGTAAACACTTCACAAATTACACGATATCCTGTAACTTTATACATTTGACGTGGGTACATGTTGAACTCCAGTGCCCTTTGGGAGTTATACCCTTTTCCAAGTATAGAAAGTTAAAAAATAACCAACGGTATCAAGTCAAATTAGTTGGACGAAGTAACTATAATGACTAATCTAATTATTCGTTTGCCAATATTTGATTTGTATTGGTTTTTTACTAGAAAAATTAAATTATATCTTAATTTAAAATCTCAACCTCATACTATTTCCTTCAGAATTAAAATAAATTAAACACTTAGCCATGTAAGCAATTATATGAAATAAAAATAAAAATAGAAAAAACACAATAGTATATTAAAAATATAGTACTTACCTATAAGTTAGGTTGATAGGTATAATTGCACACAATTTAGTATACTACTTACTTTATTTTGGTATTTTATTAATTGATTATGAATAAAAAAAACTGCATCTCATATACCTACGTAATATGACATTCAAAATAACTACTAATAAAGAATAATTAACTAATTGGAGGTAATTTTTGCCGGCTCTATATTTTCTTGTAGTTGGGACTCCTTTTCTGGAAGGTTTTTTCCTAGCTTTTTCCGAACACCATTATTATTAGTATATTATGTGAATAAATGGTTATTAATAATCATAATATTATACAAAAAAATTAATTTTTACAATAGGTGTGATAATTTAATATTTTTGAAATGAACGCATAATAACGAGTATTGTTTTAAATATATAAGCTATGGTTAAGGAAAAAAAGCCAACACATTTTGATATTCAACATGTAAATTGATTTAAATCATTTAATCATACATATAGAAATATTATTTACAGCCTTGAACTAACCATAAATGAAAAATTTCTAATATTTTCATTCAATGGTTGGATATCACGTTGTATCATCATTATTATTTTATCAATATTATGAGTGTATTATAAAATGTATATATAATAATATAATAATATGTATAATAATTTATGCAAGTTTATAATAATTGTCATTCGAATAATTGCAATCTTAATGTTTTTTTACAGTATCCATATCGTCTGTAAAGGCGTATTAATATATCATAACCGAGCAATGGAGTTCATAAGGTGGATGACAGTTGCTCACACCTAAGCTCGGACTTCGTGGTTCTCGATTTATGCTTTACATTTATACACAATATGTGGCTATATTTTAATAATTTTATTGATAAGCATATATAATAAAATAATTTCCTGCTCATGCATTCCGTCGATTCAGATTGGATTGTTGTGTTTCCTCATTTCAGTGAACCATCAAAATCCGTAATTCATGACTGTACTTTTTGGCTTTTACTTATATTGACGTAATGGAACTGCTAAACAAGAACAATTAAATTAGACGACATTGGGAATTGAATTGAAATTTAACGATAACATAACAATATGTGTATGCGTCCAAACTCGAACGGACAAAACAAATAAAATGACGGTCAGGTATAATAATTCAATTTGCCCGTGGAATACATTAAAACGGAATCATCGTTCGAGTGTATAATATTATATTATGGCGATGAATAAAAACAATATTTAAATTAGAGAATAGACGGAAGGTCTATAAAAATACGGTTTTATCGTTTAAAAATATGACTAATTTAATGAATACTTTTGTAAATATTAAAACTGTAATTAAACGTCCGGCGCTTATCGAGAGACATAATATTTTAATAATAATAATAATAATAGGTATGTACGTACCCAAAGGTACGCTCGCAATATTATTAGCATACCTTTATTTTATAGTGACGGACGGGTGTTAAAATGGCCATACTGTCACTAGAGTTACGTCGAGCGTGTACCGTATAGGTACTTACATCTGTTTGGAGAGCAATAATAATAATAATAATAATAATAATAATAATAATAACAATAATATATGTTTTTGGAACGATTTGATTCTAAAATATACCGCAAGGCAAATATTCAAATGACAAGTCGTCGGTGTGCGCCGCACTTAACTCGTCGCCGTCGGACGGGTTGGGTTGGGTTGGGGCGGTGGCAACGTCGGTGACAGCTGCAGGTGTGTGTGCACCGGAAGTAGGACCTCTGCATCAGCTTCCGGCCCGTTATTCCGGAGGGAGGGTTGGATGGGTACATAGCACAGCCCGTGGATGAGACTTTTATCCGGTAACTTCAGCCGAAATAATATAATAATATATGCGGACGGATTCGCCTCTCGGCCACGGTGGTCGCTGGGTAGGTTTAAGCACGACGTTTGGTGGGTAGCTATTTTCCCAACCAGGTGGCTGGGTCTGCTAATGCGTCTCAGATCGTAACTCTTATTGGCTGTCCCGCCGCCACCGCCACCGCCGCCGCCACCCCAGCCCCAGCCCCAGCCCCAGCCCCAGCCGCGACCGTTCTCGTGCATAATGCATTATCGATTCTACATAATCAATGTATTATTATTATTACTATTATTATACCTACGTATAAATAATAATATATTACATTATATATTATATAATTTACACAAGCGATGTGATCATATTTTGATCGTTTTTCAGCCAAAACGTCGTTTCTATCGGCTGACATTTCTCAACAAGGTTCTCGAAACAATAATATAATATGTGCTCACTCACATTTCCGTCAAATCCGATGTTTCTTAAGTACAGACAATTCTCGGGACACACAGTTCGGTTGTACGATAAACGTATATTTATTATATTTTTTCCGCGGCACTTATTCGATTTGACTATCTCGAAATCGTATTATTATACACATATGTATTTTATGCAGGAATATTCTATTATTCTAATATCACGAAAGTGCGTTGGTACCTTTAATGTATAATATTATATCTCATCGTATATAGGTACCTACTATACGTGCGTATCGATGTGAATACAACGAAATCGTGTTACAATATAAATCCGCGAAGTGAAAATGCAAATTTCCTTAATGATTTCCCTCGTTTATACGTTGTACGAACAACAATAAAAATGATCGTTTATACACTGTAAAAAGAAATTTTAAATTTATTTTTCACGTAGTCGACAAAAATAATGTAAAGCTACATTATGATATATTGTAGTAACTAGTTAGATATTTTCACACAGTAAATACGAGTATATAAAACGGAGTTCGGTCGACGCTCAAATGAAATGCAAAATGTAAAATAACAAATTGCATGTCCCTGATTTTTTTTTATACTTTGACATCAAATTAATAAAATGTAATGCGTATATTAATTTATTAAATCATGTTCCATAAAGATAATGTTACCCATCGGTAGAATCCTGCTGGTTTTTTTGTTATTTCGTTGAAAATCGTTTTTTTTCGTTTGAATTTTACATTTTTATTTCCAAATAGTTTTCACCGTAGGCGATTTAAGTTAAGCACATCATAATGATGAGTAGTGAAAAGCCCGAAGATAAAAACACTGGTAAAAGAGCACTTAAACAGAGACGATTTTTGTTTTGGATTTTTTTGTTCTTGCTTCCCATTCTATGAAAAACGGCATCATGACACGTTTACAAATTTGTACCGTCTACATTGCGGACGACAAATGTTCATTCATTTATCGTAATTAAGAAAATAAAATAAAAGAGAGAAAATTTAAACGAGTTTGACGAATTTGATATAATTAGGAAGTCAGGAGAAACGACTTTAGCAGGCCCGTTGCACTGCACAAAGATTAAATGACTCGAACACATAATTACAAAAACACAAAAATATCTCTCAAAGAATCCGTCGATATTATAAAATATAAAAATTATATTTGAAATGTAAAACATGATTTATCCAAGAATACAATGATACATATTATTTGGTTAAATGGTTTTGTAATAATTTACACCTCTCTAAAAGCAATTTTCAGTGATTTTCTGTTAATGTTAGATAATACGATTCTACCATGTCCCCATTTCGTATATATATCTCTTCAGACAAACATAGTTGTAGTTCCTGTGGGAAATACCGCAAGAACAGACAGTCATAAATGGCCGACAGCTACCACCTACCAAATATGATATTATTATTGTGTCATTTCGTTGTGTTTCGAATTTTGAAAGAAATCATTAAAATGTGGTATAATACGTTGTGATTACATTTTATAATTAAAAAAAAAAATTATAATTTTATTATAAATCATTTATTTCATATTTGATATATTTACTACAATTAATCTAAAAATTGAGATATTTAGTCGGTTAGTTCCATTTTTGAATAATAACTAACGAGGAACATTATATTCACTGTACTTTTATGGTAGATTTTTGTTTTTACATAAAATGTAAAATGGAATAGGTTAGGTTTTTAATATTTTGTTTATAAAATTAGTAATCTACATAATAAAAAGGACATTATTTCTTTTTAAATTATATAATCTTACAAAAAATGAACAATAGTCATAATTATCAATATACTAGAAACAGTGACTTTCCAAATTGATACCCATAAAATATATTTTATCAAATTGTTATAATATTGTACAGGTTTGTATTTTTATTTTACGAAATATATAATATTATGTTTACATACACATAGGAATACATATATAGTATGTGCAACACAGAACTTATATCATCGAATTTTCCACATAATAATTGATTAAGTTATTATTTTTGTTTGTTTGTTTTCTTCAGCATATACTGTGATACATAAGCAGGTGTTCTCTGAAAACTTTATTTCAAATATTATTAAGATGCAATGTCCAATTATCTTAATGAGAGCTATTATTAGTTAAGAATCCATTAATTCATAAATATTATAAGGACTCACTGTCGTTGCATTATGAACTGATCACTGAATGATAATAAATCAAATACCCATAATATCGTTAATATTTCATCTATTTGTCAATCATATTATAATTAATCATATTTTTAAATTAGGTACTACTCTTGTTATTTTTATAACCACACAGCAGTTATCAATATTTCCATCAATTATATGCCAATGAATATTATTTAAATTACCTACCAACCTAGTTTAATAGTTTTAACGTAATAGTTTACCTGTAAGCTGTAATGCTATCCACGCCAAATATGTGTTGAAAAAAATAAACCTGTAATAGAAGTAAGGATAGAAAATACACATTAACGTGTCACATAGCCTGTGCAGATAATCCATAATATTTATACATGCAAACGACGCTGATTTATTATGCAGTGTGGATCCATACATTAGTCAACCGTAAAACGCTTAATTATAATGATAAACTATGAATTATAATTGTACAATATTAAAGTACCTACGATACATATACATTATACCTATATGGCTATATAGTATGTATCCTCCGACGTTTATTGCTTAGAACTTATAATATAAATATATATTATGTATACATTTTATTCTATACATTTTCACTTATTAAAATGTGCACAATTATTATAAAGGCAATCATGTCCTGTACCATTATATTTTGAATTAAAGTTCTGAATCAAGCATATCTGCAGGGTTAAAGAAAGTCTGTATCAAATTACCATAATATGGCATAATTATTTTATATTCGTTACGGTCTATACGGATATTATTTTTGGTTACAACATGTCATTATCGAACAAATATGAGCGACATCGATATCATAATATTATTATCATATTTGTGGTCGATGAGAATTGTCTGATAAATAAATTTCGCTCGACCGTCAGATAAAAAAAAAATATTAGGGCCTATGGGTATTAAAAATAATGACATAGGTTTACTGTAAGTTATACGTGGACTTTTATTTGTATCACTATTATTTATTTTTGTATTAAATATTCTCCCTTTTAGAAATGACATTTTATGTATTTAAATACTTTTTGTTTTACATAAATTAATTAATTATGACCAACTAGTGTATCGTAACATTATTTTTGTCGTTCAAGTGACGGTTAAAATTACAATTAAAAATAAACTTTATGGACGAAGAATTGATATTTTACAATAAAGTGTTGGCTAAAATTATATTTCCTACAATTATTGTCTACGATTATATAACATTAAGCTTTTCTATTAATACCAAAACAATATAGATATTTAAACGATAAGTCTATACTTGTTCATTTTTCTCGTCAAGTAAAATATTATTTTAAGTTTCGTTTGGGAAAGAGATGTGTTATTGTGTCAAACAATATAATGTACTTGAATTATAATCTAATATAATTTAAAAAAGCAGCGAAGTTACTCTAATGGTGTTTCTCGAAATTTAGTTAGTCACTGATGTGTTTAATTTGAATTCAATGATAAATCGTTGTATACAAAAAACGATATTGAGCTGAAACGAACTATCAGTCTTCATATCTATGAATATTGTATTAAAAATGTATACTGCTATTATTTATAGTTATGTTACCTCAAACTAATTTTTGCCACAAACAAGTCGCACATTTTATATAATACAAATTATAAGATCGTTTCATATAATATGTTTACATAGTTATTATTTAAATCAATTTCAAGGATTTAAATATATTATTGAATTATCATTTTAAATATTTCGTTGTGTATAGTAAATAATAATACAAATAAGATCTAAAAGAACATTTTTCGCTTAAGTAGGTAAATCATAACTCGTAAGCGTATCCAGTTGTAGTAAGAATTTGACAATGAAATGTATAAAAGCAATAAATAATTGTACTTGATATTCATTTTCGATATTGTCTAAGTGATGGCTGTAAGAATAAATTATAATTAATTTTGAAGGGAATATTTAAGCCAGCTTAGCTATTAAAATTAAAATGTTCAAATGTTTGAGGTTTTAAAAACTTTTGTCAAAATTTAAACACGAATTCCTATAAAAAATACTGTGTCTATACATTTTTAATAATTTTAAATTTCTATAAACTATCAACAAAAATTATGTATAACCTTGTATTAACCTTGTATTGTTCTTTGCATGCATTTGAGACGATTATTATAAATTGTTATCAACAATTTAAAAAGAAAACTATACAATTTTAAATATCTACGAATAGCTCAAAAAAAAAGCCGAACCTTTTCAAAATTATATTTTGTCTAGAAAATGTTATAATAAATATTTCATGAAAATTTCAAGTATCCATGGTTATTTATTTTTGAATCACTATAAAATAACAAAATTAATTAAATCAAAAATCGGCGTTGCTTAAATAATCCCGTATTTTCTTAATTTTTTTTTTAGTTTTTCTAAATATTATCAAGTTAATTTCAGTAAATTATTTTTATTTTGACGCCCTAAAGTACAAATTAGGTGATTGACATTTGCGATCATAAACCCAGCTTGTTTTTTTACAGTACTTATAATGTGTCTTAAGTATTAAAATAAAATCAGAATTAAAAAAACAAATAAACACACATCATCTTATTACCATCCTCGCTCCACTAAGAATCTTAATTATATTTACACTTTAAACTTACCTTATTGAATTAGGTATTAAAAGATTCACTGAACTACATTTTTATGATACATTTAAAATTTAGACAAATGGTTACCTAGTTATTTGTGGTATAAGAATTATTGTTATTTTAATCATTTTAATTGAATGTATATAATTAATTGTCTATTCAACGTTATAGACAAATTCAGTACCAATACATTATTAATAAATACTAAATTTGAATACGCTTTTGACAATGCATTTTGTTTAATTTCTTATATTAATATGCATTTTACTAGGTACCAATGAAACAAAACAGTGAGATTATGTTAACTTTGTATGAAATGTTTATGATAACTATTATTGAAATATGAATTCAGATTTATTGTTTAAGTAATATTTTAATAATATTTATCAACAAACACTTATAATGAGTGATTTAATAATCATATTTCTACAAAATATTACACTGAATAAATAAGTGTCATCAATCTTTAAACGCGACGATCTATAAATACTTGGGAATAAAAATATAAATTTCGAACTCACAACATTCAGCCTTCAAGCCTTTCAACCTTCAGCTAGGCCAGCAAAAAGTAGCAAACAACTAATTATTATGATAATAATATTATCATATTAAAATAGTTAAGTCATCATGATAAGTTTACGAAGTTGGCATTAAAATAGTCCACTACAATCAGCCAAATATGTCATATAAATTCTCAGGAAATATAACCACCACATTACGTATGCAAGACATAAAATCACTATTTTGTTTACTAATTAAAAAACGTAAATACGTATTTATATCAATTTGTCATGATGTATTATAATTCTTCCATAACTATAGTTTATAATTTGTTTTATTCACATAAATGGTAAAATAATATATTACTTTAGTTATTAAACTATAGTGTAAGTAATCATATCCTAAATTATTCAAACTAACTTTAAATGTAACTGTTGATTCTAAAATACAATGATAACGATATTTACAATTTGACTTTATGAATTTTTATTTTTAAATTATATGAACAAAATTAATAGTATTTCTTATAACAAATATTTAACCAAACATCGATAAGTTCAAACAAAAAAAATTAGAATACAGCACTACCATTTACAGCTGTTTCTTAATAGTACTTTGCTGTGATTCTTCCTCAGTCTTTCGAATATGTTCGCTTTAACTTAAGACCAACCAAATACGTGAACAATAATCTATTTAATTCTGTTATTTTTAAAATATTAGATTAAATCGACTTATATTTTATAAAATAAATAAAATTTTTATTTAAGGCAATTATTAAAATATAAACAATAGGCTCTGAGATTATTCAGGATAATAATCTTATAATTTTATTTTAAAATATTACAATAGATCGGATTACTTTAATTTTAAAACGATATAGTAAAATAGGTGTAGCGTCATCTTAATCGTCGTAATGGTACATAACATCACATTTTAACAAACCCTCATATAAAATCTATAGAATATAAAAAAAAACTATTTCCAATATTGTCGGTTTCGTTAAATACGGGTCCAACCCTTAATTTATATTTTTTAAAAACCAGAACAATTTGTTTAAATAATTAAGTACCTAAGTAGGTACCTACTGGAATCAGAACCAGAACTGTAAAAAAATTACCGGTCCCATCCATGTATATTTTCAACAAGAGACATAGAAAAATGTTAACTTCCAAAAAAAAAAAAACAATGCCTGTAGACATTATATGACTTCTTTGAACTATATTGCTATATTAGTTATCCATTTTTGAGGAAATTGGTTTGTAACAATGAATATAAAAATATTGAAATTTAGATCATTGTTAGAACACAACGAAATGTTTGATTCCGAGGACAAATATCAAATAATTCAGTTTGTTGTAGGTATTCGTAGTTCTAAAATGTGTACAAATGGAAATGCTAGTAATAAAAATTACATTTTTTTTTTTTTGTAAACGTTGGCAGAATCAAGGTTTTGATCAAATTGATTCGGGATCATGACGTGATCGAACAGTTTGGCAATACATAAAGGGTCTTTCCACAACACAAACATTGAATAAGATGGAGGCAGTGTAGTCAGCAGGGTCATTGAATGATACAAGCATAAGATATAACAAAATACATAATCAAAAAATATCACGTATTCTATTTGACTATGATAATATAATATATGCTCATAACATGATTTTACATTTATTTGCTAATTATTTTTTCCAATATTTACTTTCACTCAATTGATATTAGTTATTGGCCTTTTGATCAGAGCAACTAATTCAAACATCATTCCATTCCATTCAAAACCATAGTTTTGGATTTGGAGAGCTGCAGAGAGAAACTGTTTATTGTACAGGGATTGAAGACGTATACATTTTAATCAGAAGTTTTTCATTATTTTTGAAAACCAAATTTGTCAGAAAAAGCTCATCTGGGTCTAATCACTGAATAATGGAAACCAAAGAAATGTTCAGTAAGGTACTTAAAATATACCTAATCAATATAATATTATTAATAATATGATTTATGTCATAATTAACTTAGAAAAGTATGTATCAAAAATATATTGGTACATCCCATGTATAACTTACGTTGTTACGGTATATAACTGTATTATATACCTATGATATTGTTTTTATTAATTATCTCTGTGAGGCCTAGTAATCTGAGAAAAAGATTTTTAGTTTGAGTAAATAAATTTAACTAATTAATTATTAGAAAATTGATATAGTTAACATATGAAAATCGAATGCAGTAAATTAAACATAAAGCTCCAAAGTATATTTATCAGTTTTCTAAAAAATACTCAATTTGCAAATATTTTATAATGCGTAAATCATATTATGCTACATATCCAATTTGTAGATTCATATTCTAAAAACAACTTTCCAGAATATTCTGTTTAAGCATAAACATTTTTTAATTCATATCCAAGTCACCCTTTTATGGTTTTTTATATAGTTTATTTCACAAGACTAATTATATATCAGTTTGTTTGTGTCAAAAATACTGTACTTATTAAAAAAAAATCAAAATTAATATCGATTTACCAGATACAACATAGGTATTTTAATTTTTAACAGATCTCTACGGTAAAAAAAAAAAAAAATAATCCATAGAATTATTTTGTTCTATTTTATTCTGCTAGCGATAAAAGTGGAATCAAAATAAAATAATGATTTTTCGATAAACTTTTATAGCGATAAAAAAATTCCGAAATTTAATATGCTAATCGTATTCAAGTGTTTGAATAAAATATTTTTTTTTCTATTTTTACATACAAATTCGTTTTGAAACTATACGTATTGAATTTATAATTTGAAAACAACACAGTGCCTGTATATAATATCATTTTCCGATTATAATTCAGTTAAAATACTTCAGAGGAAAAAACCTGCCACCGTGTATTATAAACATTTTGAAAATAACTCCTGGATTAATCGGAACACAGCGTATATCTATAAATACAACTGTATATCGACTTGGTTTCGTCGAACATAATATTGTTATAATTTACCTACTGTGATGTACGATATACCCTAGCTATTGCCCGTGTGTCAGAAGTGCGCCGACCACTCAAAGCTTTCGCTCGTGATTCGTTTAGGGCTGTTTGGTGGTATTATAATATTATTATGATTGAGGTCGCTGGGGGATGGTTATTAACATGGCTTGTCGTGTGATCGACTACAATGGAATTCTCGAAATACGTATCAATATGGATGTCCGTCTGTACTCTAATCGAGTGAAATATATTTTGTAAAAATACATAAAAAAAATATCAAAACACACATTTTAATAAAAGATGTTACAATAATAACACTTAGATCATATTATATTGCCGAGACGACATATTTTCGTTGACCTTTAAATTATTATGGGGTCACGTATGGTAAGAAAAAAAATTAAATCACTTACCGATTGAGTAGACCGCACCTTCCAGCCGGAAAATCTTGTTTTTGCCTTCGCTGACCGCTTCATCGTCCACCTCGTCGGGCGGCATGTCCGAACCGTTTCCGTTCTTGTCTTTCACTTCCGATCCGCCGTCTCCGGTTGTGACTCGTTTATCCACCGTCCGCTCAACGGTGGTCGCGGTCGGCCTGTCTGATGCGCCACCGCTCCTGGCCGGTTCACGTTCGCCCACCGGCCCGGACTTCTTGTCAGATTCTCCTGCCTTGTCCATGTCCTCGGCGCGGTCTGCGACGTTCGCGGACGATCGGACTCCTAAGTCCGTTCGCGGTCCGTTCGGTACTCTCGAATCGTACGTGAATATATAATGTTATGCGAAACGAATTGCGTGTGTTTTACGTACGAGGACACGAGACAGGTGTCGGGCTTAACCCGTGGGGTAGACGAGACTCGACTTGGACGGTCAACGAATAGGCTCAGCAGTGGATCGAGTGACGGTAGCAGTAGAAACGGCACCGACGACGCTCGACTGTCTGGCGACCGATCCACGTGGTGAGTGGCAGCGGCAAAGGCGTCAGCGGCGACGGTGGCGGCGACAAAAGCGGCGGACCGCGTCAGCGCGCGAGCGTGAAAAGTGCGTTTTCCGGCCGAGTCGCGCGCGCGGTTCGCCACCACCGTTGACGTCGTCAGCCAATATTCGTTTACTATGCGCTGTAACCGAGGTATACGGTAGGTATATTATTATATTGTAACCTACACATCTCATATAATACTAGGTTAATGTGTGTGTGTGTGTGTGTGTGTGTGTGCGTGTATACACTTTAATAAATTATTATCATTCTTGTGATTATTCTTAACGATTTTTCGTTTCATTTGTCCATATCTACATTACCTATTTTGGTATTATATAAACGTCCGACTTCACACGCGTCACATAGTATATTTTATTTCTAGACCACGTCTGTACGACATTTTTACGATTATATTATTATGTGTTTTGAAATGTGAAATTTAAAACTTTTAATATTGTTACCAGACGGTCAAAACGTGAATAGAAGATTTTCATTTTTATCTAGGTTCTATAAACTGTATTCCCAGACTAAATATTCTAGTAAAATCTTCCGCAAACGGGTATTCTGCGATTTTTATTACGTTACTATTTACTTAGCACTCTGCTCACTAAGTACCAAGGAGGACATTCAATAACAATTAATTTTGTTAATTTAGAAATATAATAGGCTTAAAAAAATACAATTTTTGAACATTAAATAAACTTAACATTTTACATATTATTATTTTAAATACAATTGTAAATTTATTTCAGACAAACAAACTACGCTCACGAATAAAACGATTTTAATTTTTCTATACACTAAACAAACAGAAATGTTATACACCACCTACATAACTAATATTATTTTAATCCTAAACACGAGCCATTTAAATTATTATCATAATAAACAAAAATGTTAAATAAGAATCATAGCTTGTCTTATGGATTGATTTATGAGCATTTTATATTTTGTATATTATATTTTGGCTGTGTGGATGAGGCAAAAGTAAATGAACATAAGTATAAGCAATATCGCTATTTTTGCAAACAGTGATCATCATTATTTATGATACAACAGGTGTCTAGAAAATAAACTTACTTACGTACTAAAAATAGACTGGTAAAATCACAAACCATTTTTTCACAAGCCATCGTGTAAACTTTTATTAGGGCAACGTTATGCGAAATGTTTTGATTTGCATTTTATAAACGGATTTAGATTCAGTATGTATAGTAGTTTTAATTGGTAAATTAGTTTAAATGACTTATATAGATTTTCCAAATTAAATATCGTAATTATAGTATGATGTAATTATATGACCATACAAATGATTCTTCTTTCATATAATTGTACATGTATTTCACAATTATAAACGTTTTCAACACACAATTTAAAACATAGTTATTAGGTTAGTCTATTTATGTTGGCTTATTTTATGGAGAATCTGAATTCGTTAATTACATGAAAATATGAGAATGCTATAAAATAATATAATCAATTATCATGATGATCAAAGACGGTAGTTTGGACCAATATAATTTGTCGATGATTTATTCTCTTGCCCAATATAGAAGATAATTTATTTTTAAAATTCAACCATTTCAACCAATTTTCAATTAGTTCCTAAGAAGAATCATTACACATTTTGTGACTGGGTGTCGTAGAATATTGTGTGAATAATACCCTAACACAATACCTAAGTTTGTAGACTAATTATATTAAAATGAATGCACAAGCCACTACGATGAGGGGGTAAATCGTAAATAGTAATAGCCAATAAGACATTTATTATTACTAAATAGTTGAATCAGGTTTATTTGTTGAATAAATGTGTTTTTGTTAAATACACATCGCTGTTATTCTAGGAATTTGATTAAGGAATGTAAAGGAGTTTTATTTTAAATTTTAACATTTTTGTGAATAATTATGTTGTACATAACATTTTTTACGTAAGCATTTTCTAAACAATAACTCTTAATTTAAACACATTTAACAATAATACATAATACATAGTTTTAATTTATAATAATGAGTTTAGATAAATAAAACAAACAATATTACCATGGCCCAAACCTAACTAGATATCCAGAAGAGACTCGGCAATCATTGTCCACCTACCAATAGACACACGGATACCTCATTCCCAATGAAGACCCACCATCTTGGCCTACGTGCGGAACACTCATTACGGTCAAGCACATACTCCTTGAATGTCGCGAGTTCAATGACATTCACTTCAAACTGGAACTATCGGAGACCTTATATGAGATACTTGCACCCTCTCAAGAGACGCCCAAAAAATTAATCAATTTCAACACCGAAACAGAACCGCGATATCTCATTTAAAATTATTAGATACCTAAGAAAACAATGTACAAATATAAATATATTTAGTAACAGTCAAGTAATTTGGTGCAATTTAAGTTAATGTTCATTTTTTCTTTTTTCAACTTAAAAAATAAAATGTTACGCCCGCTAATAACATTGTTGTTAATGGATCTAACAGTTGATAAAAAAAAAAAATTACAATAAAAAGCTATCACAAAAACTGGATACATTTTGTATTAACATTATTCAAATTTCACTTATTATATATTTATGATGTATCATAATTTCAACTTATAAACACAACATTGGAAGTTACGATAACGGTTTACGCTGTAAAAAACAGTGACAATCGATTTAACTGTCGCAATCTCTTAACAAATAAACATTTAAGATTATATGTTATACCATCATAACGAATGTTTATTATATTTTTTGTGTTTGCCTACACAATGTTTTAATTAACCATATTAAAAACGAATCCCCTTATTGAACGTTAAATAAGAGTCCGAGTGTTATTACACTTAAATCTCACTTTAATTATCTTCCCAAAGATTCAAATAAAACTATGGGATCCTAAAACAAAAGTTTAGAAGTCCAAAATTAGAAAACACCCTAACATAGTGTTAGCCATCAGTGATTCTAACCATTAGTGACACTCTTAAGAAATCGTTTTTACAACTCTGACCTTAAGAAGTATCATCTTACTTTTTTCCAGAAAAAATGAGAGAGTGTTTACCATTATGTAACCTACATTGATGGTAAGTCATATAAAACTATAAAATAACATTTTTTAACATAAGGTATCTAATAAAACTACAAGAGTTTTATATCTAGGTGTATAATTTATATGGAAATACCTATTTATTATATTACTTACCTATATATTTTGTTAAATAGAAAACAGTTGATAACAATAATAGTAAAATTTAAATATTATTTACATTATAAGTTATTTATATTCAACAATATTATCATTTTATTAAAATAATTAGAATAAGAATAAATGTTTTGTTTTTCAATATTTTACACCCAAAATTTAATTTTTATTTAAAATAAATTTTCAAAAACATGTGTGAAATGCATTTTAATTTATGTCCAATTTTCAGACTTAATTCATTGCTTCTATATTTAAACTAATAAAAGTATTACAATAATAAGAAAATAATTATTACCAATTGATTATATAATAATTTCAATACTTCAACACCAATTCTTCACATTTTGCATTTCAAATTATTTTAAAAATATATTGACTGTACATTTTTTTCTGTGCTATAACTTTTTGTAAGTAAAATGTTCTAAATTATACTCATAATATACATTGAAAAACATACTATGTACACCTTGTATATACGTACGTTTGAGTGTTAATGTTTAAAATAACAATAAATAATTTAAACAAAGCCAATGAAAAAGTTTTATTACCATTTCCATGCAATACTTCACACAATTCTAACCATTTATTTTGATTTTACTACAAAAAAGCTTTAAGTTAACTAAAAATATAACGATGCCAGAGTATAATATTCTCTGACAGTAAAGTAAAAAATATGTACAATATGTTTTTATTCAAATAAAAAGCTTTTATAAAACAAAAGTTAGTAGGTACCTAGATACCCATATTTTTAGATTCTGAGTGAGTGAGAGAAGTAATTGATTTTACGATGATGTGAGCTTTTATGGTTTTTTTAATGAATGAACCATATCAATTTTATCTTAAGCTTTACTATTTAAACCTATCTAGTAATTACGTAACAATAAAACACTAATATTACTTTATGTATATTTATTGAGATTCATGGTGATTAATAAATAAAAAGAAGAAGCTATAAATTCTCGAGCAATTTTTATTAAATCTGTAAGCTCTTCTTTGAATTCTTCTCTTCTCTCATTTTTTTAATAAAGCAACTCAATACTACATTACTCTCATATTTAAAATTATTATACGATAAATAGCTGCTAGTTTTTTCAATGATCTGATTCAAAACTGTATCTTGTAGTCCTCGACTTTCCTACTTTTATAATAAAATATAAATACAAATGAAAATTACAAATAAAGAGTAAATCGATTAAGTTCCTAATAAACTCAAAAGGTAGGTCATAAAATATGCTCGATTTTTTCCTTTTATATCTACCTAATTAATAAGAACTACTATTTAATATTATTTATGAATTTTAATAAGAAAACAGTTGTACAATAATTCACACATAGTTATTCTTAACATTAACTTATTATTTATTGTGTGTAGTGTATACACTATATTATTATTTATTATTAACTATTATAAAACTATGGTTGTGTCATAAGTTGAAAAATGAGTTCACCACAAAATATAACTTTTAAAACAGAACCATTGACAAAAAATTCTTATTAAGATAAGAAATGTACAAATGTCACAAATAAAAAGTCCGATAGAAAATAAAAATATATATCATATCTTCAAATTGAGTTATCTATAGTTTATAATTTACAAAATTATGAATAAACCAATTTAAATTTAAAATACTGTTTAAAAGACGTTAAGCATATTTATTTAAGTTCATGTTTTATTTATAGTTATATTTTGAAATTCTTAAGCAAGTACATCAACAGACAAACAGTCACGTAATCTGATCTTCAGTCAGAAATATTTTAAACTTTATCATATCCTCCAACTACATA